AGAGAGTGGTGAGTGAGGGGTGAGGGTGAGTGGTGAGGGTGAGTGGGTGGTGAGGTGAGTGGGGGGAGTGGTGAGAGAGTGGTGAGGGTGAGTGGGTGAGGGTGGTTGGTGAGAGTGATGGTGAGGGTGAGTTGTGAGTGAGCTCCAAGATTAGTAAACAAAAAATCTCGACAAATAAAATAGAATAATAAAATAGAATAATAATAATGATGATGATGATCAACCCGTGCTTGTTAAAGTTCAACGCGTTCACTACGATATTTAATAATCTCTCGTTGAAATAATCCGCCAAATTGAGTCGTTGATGAGGTCAGCTGTTAATTAGTAGCGGGCCAATTAAGACGTCGTTAATTAGGTCAGCTGTTAATGACCCTGAGGTGTTGACCTGAGGCCAATTAATTAAGCAACGTGCTCATTCAATTACAAATTGCGTGTGTGACGTGAGTTGACTCGGGTTTTATTTGAATTTTTTAAAATGCAATTGTGTTTAATTTAAGGACAATGCATACATTATCAGAGTTGTGTGTTTTGTTTGTATTATGACCGCAGGTATTGTGGTCTATGCAAAGATGACTCCTTGTAAAAAGGTGTCAGTTTTGTTGCCAGATAGAAGGGTAAAAAAAACAATTATCAAGACAATCCTAGATTGAATAGGAATGTTAAAGACCTCTTAATATCTCGATTTAAAGCTTTCGTGACTGCAGGGATTCATCTTCTTGGTTCTTTCGGTAAAGTCATCACGTAGAAGGGAAGTAATAAAAATAATATATTTATTTTTATTATTTTATTACTTCCCTTCTACGTGACTTTACCGAAAAACCAAGAAGATGAACCTCTTAGTATCGTTGGAGATTGTCTTTAATTTAGCTAAGAGTGAGTGGCCACGATGATTCCTAGATGTTGCCTTTTGCTCATTTAATTAAGGGTAAAGTAATCTGCGATTGCTTTTTAAACATAAATGTTGCACCCTCGTTATAATTGGTGTGAGAGTGAGCAGATTGGAGATACAAAAAATTAACCCGTAAAAACAAAGTTTTCACTATAAATCCTTTATATGCGTGGCATCGCTTTTATTTTATTATTCATTTCTGTTTTTCTTGAGTAAGAGTTTCATTTTTATCACATTGCTATTTTAAATTAAATATAAGGAAAGGTTTTCAGTTTTTGTATGATTGTTTTATTGTACATTTTTGTTGTTTTCTTGAATAATTTTCTGTTTAGGAAAAATATACGATTGTGTTAGTGAAAATTATTTTTTCCCTAAACAGTGTAAAATTTTGCAAAAAATGTTTTACGAAAATAAATTGTCACGTACAACGAGTCGGTGTGCAAAATGTCAGCTCGATTGGATGACGGAAGTGGGTTGAAAAACGACCGAAAGATTTGCACGGTCGTAAGCAAGCAAGCAAGTGAACTTAATATAAAGGATTTAAAAACTAAATACACGTGCGGTTTTATAAATTAATTAACAAACAAGTATTCACTGGATAGCCGATTAATTAATTGTATGTTTGTGATAGGTTAATTAGGCTCGCCACACCGGAAGCTAATTAACTTTGGAACTTCCATTTAATCCCAAAGCTAATGTTCCAGCTGGGCTGTGCGAACGGCCTTGAACCTGCTCTGAAGGTTTCAGGTTCTTGTGCACTCATTTGCGTGGGAAAAAATGTAACATTAAATGTGATCACAGTATTGGTTTCTCTTACGGGCTCGTTTTTCCGTTTACAACTCTGTCGGCCAACTGTTGGGCAAAGTCTTGGGGTCTCGCACAGTTTCCCCCAAGGGAGTTTTTTTAAAATAAATATTGTTTTAGAATAACGTTATTCTGTAATCTTTATATTTTGCGAAAGTATCGTACAGGTTACCAAATCGCTGTTTCGCCCGATTAACTACCCTTGTAATCAACGACTTGTTTTGGAAAATGTAATCGGATCGCTAATGGCTCTGATGATGACACTTGCTGTGAGAGTTGTATTTTTAAATCCTTTATATTAAGTTCACTTGCTTGCTTGCTTAGGACCGTGCAAATCTTCGGTCGTTTTTAACCCAGTTCCCGTGATCCAATCGAGCTGACATTTTGCACACAGAATCGTTGTGCGAGACAATTAATTTTCGTGAAAATTTTTTTCCAAAATTTTGCACTTTTAGGAAATTTTTTTTTCATATTTAATTTAAATACCAATGTGATAAAAATGAAACTCTTACTCAAGAAAAACAGAAATGAATAATAAAATAAAACCGATGCCACGCATATAAAGGATTTATAGTGAAAAACTTTGTTTTTACGGGTTAATTTTTTTCAAATTTTCTTGCTGTGGATTTCACACCTGATGATGATTGCTTGTGTTGCAGGCGAAACGCCGTGAGAATTTTAATCGGATCGCCAATGGCTCTGATGATGACAGTTGCTGTGAGAGTTGTATTTGCCTAGCTACAATGCAACTGGTCATTCTAGTGAATGGGCGGCACAGATGCTAATGCAACAGCAATGCCATTTCGAGGGTGTGGAATTTATCCTGTTATGTACGAAACTTGAGAACCCTAGCTACATACAATGTCTGCTGCCAGTTTTATAGGGCTGAACATTGAAAATGTCTAAGTGTACAATGATTGCGATTACCATGTCTCTATAGTCGTGGTTGAAGAGACATTGTAATGTTTTTAAACTATTTTATCTTTTCCTGTAATTTCTTGAAATTCTCTTTTGGCTGGTTAAGTAAAGACATGCCTTACAATGGCTGCCCATAAAAAAAATTGTTTTCATGCATTTGTTTTCTGAGCCATTTGTTTTAGTGGCCAGGTACTGGGCCGATTCTGCTGTGAGACCCGAGTGTGTGCTTCGCCGGGGAGAGATGTAAAAATGTAGGTGAAGAATGAAATAAAAATTAATTTAAATAAAAAATAAAAATCACGACGTTTCGGAAGCAACACAAGCTTCCGTCTTCAGGTGAAACTGTCACAGCAAAATATCTGTATCACCTGAAGACGGAAGCTTGTGTTGCTTCCGAAACGTTGTGATTTTTCTCTTCTTCTTGGTTCTTTCGGTAAAGTCGTCACGTAGAAGGGAAGTAATAAAATAATAAAAAAAAACATAATAAAATAATTCTCACGACGTTTCGGCCACAACGCAAGCAGCCGTCCTCAGGTGAAAACCAGGTCTGTCGGGGAGACAGCGTCTGAATGAAACAGCACACGAGCTTGGAGCATATATATAAGCTGGGTTGGAAGGGGGGGAAAGGGCGCTTCGACAAAAGAATTTGCATATCAAGAGGAATTTAGCATATTTATGGGAAATGCAGGAATGTGATTAGTACTACTCATGCCCGTGCATTATGCAGGATTAGCAGCATCAAAGGGAGGGCATGTGGGAAATGCAGGTATGTGATTAATACTAATTATGCCCGGGCATTATGCAGGATTTGTGATTTTTATTCTTTTATTTTAATTTCATTTTTTACCTACGTGACTTTACCGAGTATGAATCCTTGCAGTCGCGAAAGCTTCAAATCTCGAAGATATCAAAATGGACGAGCAGTGCATGCATCAGGACGATGAGGAGCTGCAACAGCAGCAGCAGCAGTCTCCAAACAATCGGAAGGCTCCTTCACGCACCACGCAGAATGCAGCTCAGTCTGTGCAGCAGTATCCTCCTGCCTTGGCAGAGGCAGCAACCCAGACGTGTCAGTCTCCACAGGCTCAGCCAGTTAAGCACACCCCACAAGTGCCTAAGGTGTCTTCTGGCAGCAGTCAGCGAGCGAGTGGAGAGGCGGCTTCTGATTCAAGCTCCCAAGGTGATCACTTTGACTGCCCCTTGTTCACACACGCATGCTGCTGTCTAGCTATTAAGACACATTTGAGGTTTTTGTAAATTATATAATTTCACTAATAGGGGTTTTCCCCTTTTTTTGGCAACAAAACTGACACCTTTTGCAAGGAATCATGCTTACATTAACCACTATACTTGCAGTCAAATGCAAACAAAAAACACAACTCTGATAATGTATGCATTGTCTTTGAAACTGATTGGTCCACACCAGAGACAGCTTTCTTTAGAGCCTCGTCTCATATGGTGTTCGACCAGATGACGCCAAGTATTGTGGTTAATGTAAGCATGATTCCTTGCAAAAGGTGTCAGTTTTGTTGCCAGAAAAAAAAAGGTGAAAAACCCTATTAGTCTATTTTGCTACTGGCAAAGGAGGTCCCATGATGACGTCATTTCAATGTATTATTCTGAAAGAAATTGTCCCTGCGTGTACTCGCCTTACCTGTCCGCTTTTTGCCACTTAACCAAATCCTCAGGCTGCGTGAAAGTGGTGCACGACATGCTGATGACTTCAAGCAACTGCGGCAGCAATTGGCCATCCGACCAAGAAGACATATTTCGCCTCCTGGTAAGTTACCTGCTTTCGTTTAAATTCCTCGCAATCACATGTCACAATAAGCATTTGATGTTTTAAAGAATTTGCTCTGCGGTCTGTATGTATGTAGGTGCATGGGAGAGAACATTTTGAAATATTAAAGAAAATCAAGGAAAACCTGGAGCTGATCCGAACGCTGCCCACGGATGCCAATGTGTTGCGCAACCTGCAGCAACAACAGTACGTGAACACGAAATAGACAATCGTTGCTCTTGCGAGAGAAGTTCCCGATTGCTGCTGTAATTAAATGGTAGCAACAGAAGGGAAGTAATAAAATGATAAAAATAATAAAATAATTCTCACGACGTTTCGGCCACAACGCAAGCAGCCGTCCTCAGGTGAAAACCAGGTCTGTCGGAAAGACAGCGTCTGAATGAAACAGCACACGTGCTTGGAGCATGTATATACGCTGGGTTGGAAGGGGGGGAAAGGGCGCCTTGACAAAATAATTTGCACATCAAGAGGGTTAATTTTTTGGGTTTTTTCTCCCTCCCAGATACGTGACGGAATTGCGTGGCAGGCCGTTCAACCTCAGCCGACACGGCAGCGAGTGTTCACAGGAAGTCTTGGCCGGCAGCCAGGGACCCTCCAGTGCCGGCGAAGGTTCCTCACCAGGTGACGCAAGCTCTCCCTGCTCGGCACAGCACATTTCTCTGCACGGAACGTGGCGGCATGCGGTAGAATTGAAAGACGTGACACAATTTGCCACAAAGTGATACGCAGTCTTCTTGGTTCTTTCGGTAAAGTCGTCACGTAGAAGGGAAGTAGTAAAATAATAAAAATAAAACACGATAAAATACAATTCTCACGACGTTTCGACCACAACGCAAGCAGCCGTCCTCAGGTGAAGAACAGGTCTGTCAGATGCTGTCTTTCTGACAGCTCTGTTCTCCACCTGAGGACGGCTGCTTGCGTTGTGGCCGAAACGTCGTTAGAATTATTTTATGAAGTTTTATTATTTTATTACTTCCCTTCTACGTGATGACTTTACCGAAAGAACCAAGAGGATGAACTCAATATTACTCGTATATGTGTTGAGGTGTAAATGTTTTTATTGCGAATGCTCATCCACTGGTTGCAGGCGTTGCACAGAATGTTGTGACGGGTGAAGCGAGTGGATCCAATGGTCCCCCACGGCCACCGGACGGAGACAGCCCACCGGCCCGGCTTGGAACCCTGCCGGACAGCGGCAAGCCTGACAACACTCTTTACAAGTAAGTGCCCTTTAGGTGCATCATCGTCGCCACCTTTAAACATCGTCGTCATTTTTCGATATAAAGCTTTCGTGACTGCAGGGATTCATCTTCTTGGTTCTTTCGGTAAAGTCACATAGAAGGGAAGTAATAAAATAATAAAAATAAAACATAATAATATAATAAAATAATATATTAAAATAATATAATAATATTACTTTCCTTCTACGTGACTTTACCGAAAGAACCAAGAAGATCGTCATCATTCACGCTCTGAAAAAAATTACAAATAAATGAAAGGGATTCTTTGCTGAAATAACATTTTCTACTCTATGAGACATCTCTTTTAGCAGTGGCAAAATATAGTAGTAGGTTTTTACCCTTTTAAACTGGTACAAAACTGACACCTTTATACAAGGCATCATACACCTTGAGACATTTCCTTTACCAGTGGCAAAATATAGTGATAGGTTTTTACCCTTTCAACTGGTACAACAACTGACACCTTTATACAAGGCATCATGTTTGCAATAACCACAACACAAGCAGTCAAAAATTCAAATAAAAAGAAGCAAAAAGTACTTTTTCGTGCTTCTTGTATTTGGTATTAACATTTTGGAGCCTTGTGTGTTGTTGTTTTTTTGTGTCTCAAGCTTCCTGAAACAAATAGACTGCTTGGAGTTTTTGGAGAATTTCACTTCACGTGGATTGTCGAGTGTCCAACAGCTGATGAACGTCACTCTGCAGGCAAGTTCCTACGGACGCTTCCATGCAAACTACGTGTGTGTTTTAACGTTTACAGGATTGGGATTTATTTCTAAGTTGTGCAAGTTTTTCTGCAACATAAAAAATGCACAAAGAAGCATGGAGAAGATGCAAGGTTGGAATTAAACTTGTAAAGAGTTAATGCGTGTGTAGTGCCTCAAGAGGGGGCTCTGGGACCCTAGGCAGAGAAGCCCTTGGCGCCAGGCGCTAGGATCCCAGGCACCCCAGACACTTAAGCCCCTTGGCGGCAGGCGCTAGGATCCCAGGCACCCCAGACACTTAAGCCCCTTGGCGGCAGGCGCTAGGATCCCAGGCACCCCAGACACTTAAGCCCCTTGGCGGCAGGCGCTCGGATCCCAGGCACCCCAGACACTTAAGCCCCTTGGCGCCACCAACGGGGGGGCTGTGTGTGCTCTGTGGGATATCTGGGGGCACACACAACCCCACCCCTCGTTGGGCACGAGGCATAAAAGGGCAGCTCCCTGGATGATCGGGGCCAGTCGCAGGTCAAGACCCGCCAGCCAGCCAGCGTAGGACCCTGTACCCCCTCGTCCCGCTGTAACAGAGTATCAGGACTGTTGGAGTGTTGTATTGTAATAAAGAAGTTACCTCTACAAGTGTCTCCGGAACCCATTACACGTGGATACCGAAACATGCAAATAAGAAACATTGACAACTGCAAAAAAGTAGATGGGCTTGGGCAAGGGAACATCACTGGACTGCATTGTGGCTGGGAAACAAG